AGTTTGGTATAAACCCTTTTACCCCACAATGTTCTATTGCCATTTTTCGGTCTCACCAAATTCAGTGAACTTGCTGGGAGCTGGGAACCCCCTATGGTCTGGAGCTGCACTAGTAAGCTCAACCTGCCCCACATGGAATTCATGATCTTGCCTTCCCTCCCTCTGTTCCTCTTCTGGTGGTCTCTGCCTCAGGGCTAGTACAGCCCCTGCCCAACCACATATGTCCTGATCAGAAAAGGCACCTTCCTGCCCTCCCCTCCCCACTCTGGGTCCACAGCATGTCATACTGGTTTTCACTTTAAATGGTTCTCAAGTCTATCCACCCCATGACCATCATCACTGCTCTTGATCTAGGAAGATCACCCTTCACTTGAAGGGCTTCAATCGTTTCTTAACATGTTCACTCATGTTTTCTCTGTCTCTACAATCTGCTATTCATCCTGTATCCAGAATAATCTTTCAAAACTTAAATCTCATTAGTCACCCTGATTAAAAACCCTTCAATGCTCAGGACCCTTAGTGCTGGCCCCATCCCACCCCCATCCTTAGCTCTCTGCCCTTGGGCTGCATGGCCTTCTTTCAGGCCCACCCTTCCACGTTCCTGCCCATGCAGGGCCTTGTCTGTGCTGCAGCCTGTGTGTTCACTCTAAACCCCCTTCCTCTTGGAGGCTTCCCTGGCCTCCCTGACCATGTGACATCCACCTTCTTAGCATCTGCGTGAGAGGCTGAGTTTGTATTCATTCTTGTGACTGTGATTACTGCTAGGCTTCTCCAGTTCACTGACAGCTCCACGGGGGTCGGGACCTCTGACATTTCCGCCAAAGAGGGGAGGTGGGGGCAGGGCTGGGACCAGAGCACTGCAAGACACTGAGTGGGACGCCTTCTGAAGTCCCACTCCCTGGGTGCCTCGCTGCTCTCTAGTCCCTGCTCTGCAGTGGGGACGTGCCCTGATGAGGGTCCTAACCCAGAGGGTCACCACAACCTGGAAATCTCTTTGAAGTCCTATCTTCAAAATGGTTATCTTTAAAATAGTTCACGAATTTTGCATTTAACTCCCTAACATATCAATGTTTACTTAAATGTAAAAATCACATTTTCTCCAAACCTTGGAGTTGGTCCAGAAAGACAGGTAAGGAGTGTTTGCTGCCTCATGTAAGCCCTCACATTGAGAGGCAACCATGGCATTCGCAGTGGGGAGGGGAGGACCACCAAGACCCCAGCAAGGGACGGCAGAGTCCTGTCCTCATGAACACCGTCTCAGCGCTGTAGTATGGGTGGGAGAAATCTTCCCTCTAAATGGCCTGGGTTTAAATCCTACCACAAACTAGCTGTGAGGCCTGGTGTGGATAAAATCCTGTAGCCAGGATTCTCACCTGGCGCTAGTTGGCTAGCTCACTACACACATGTGGGCAATATGTCATTATTGACTCTATATAAAGAGCCCTGCCCAGTGTTCTGGGTGCCACTGTGGCACAGCAGCAAGGCTGCAGCAGAGCAGAAGCTGGAGTGGTGGCAATACTGAAGACAGAGGCTGTGGGGAAGTTGGGGTTCCTAAGGCCAGGATCCCCACTGAACTTAAACCATTTGTTGATGTAACTGGTCTGTTGCTAGGCAACTGCTTCCACACTCTAGGCAATAAGCTATTATAGCACTATGTAGAGAGCTCAGCCCAGTGCTCTAGGCAGAGGTGGAGACACTAGTGCTCAACCTACCGCCAAGGAGTACAAGCCGGGCAATAAACCCTTTCACCCCAGGAACATTCTACTGTCATTTCTTTCGTCACACTGAATCCATAGTGAACTTGCCCAGGGCTGAAACCCATTGGCAAGACAATTGGCATAGTTGGCAGGGTTCATTAGTGACCAAGGAAAAAGAACAGGCTGCCCTCATGGAAGGAGTGTTTCAGCAGGCTGCACCTCTGGATGTGGAGACATTTGAGTGTCCCCTGTGGACATGTGGTACTGTGAAGGGGTGGAGGACTGGGGTCCACCCCAAGAGAAAGCTGACTGAAATGGCATCACTACGAAGTGCTGTGGCCCAAGAGGAAGCAGCCTGAGAAGGAGCAGCAGCCCGAGGAGCAGCACCAGAAGACATCAGCCCAACCTTGGCTGAGACCCCACCTGGTTGAGAGCTGGTGGAAAGCCAGAAGGACTTGGCAACTGCAGGTTCTTTCAGGAGAGGTGTAACCCCCTCCTCAGGCTGTGGAGCGCTCCACGCTCTGCTTCTATCCTCAGGCTCAAGCACAAAAGGAAATACGGTCTGCCTCTCAAAGGGAGAATTTAAAGGGCTCTGTGAAGGTCACGAGGACCCAGATGTGGGTTGGTTTGAAAAGGCAGGAGCAGACAGCAAAAATTGGATGACTGGGGCTGTTTCAAGAACTGAGACTGAAGCAGCAGTTCCGCTGCTGTGGAAGAAGCAGAAGACAAAGATAAAGCAACAAGATCGGCCTGTGTGTCTGCAAGACTTTCTCCTGGAGAGGGTGGGTATTGTAAGGCCCACCCCTGGTCTTTTTGGTTAACTCCTTTGAGTAGAACTGGTTTGAATACAGCCAAGATGACCACTTGGTGACAATGGATCTCCTCAGGCTTGAGGGTTATTATATTTTGTTGTAATTTTTGTTATTTGTATATTTTTGTAGATTATGGAATTTGCTTACAATGTTCCAGCTTCCTTGCACAGGGACCATTGCAGAGGATTGAGGGCACAGATTGAGAGGTGAGAATCCTGGAGGCGTGGAGTGTGGATAAAATGAAGGTTCCTGTGGCCAGTTAGGGTTCCTGGCCCTGGTTGCCTAGCTCACTACACACATGTGGGCAATATGTTGTTACTGACTCTATAAAGATCCCTGCCCAGCGCTCTGGGGGCAAGGCCGCAAGGCTGCAGCAAAGCAGAGCAGAGGCTGGAGTGGTGGTAAGGCTGAGGACAGAGGCCCAGAGGTAGAGACCAGCTTGCTGCATGCAGACTCACTCTGAATGAACAGGATTCTAGTGATTGACCTGTGGGAATAAAGTTGGGTATAACCCTTTCACCCCAAGAACATTCTACTGTCATTTCTTTGGTCACCTTGAATCCATAGTGAACTTGCCTGGGGTAGAAACCCATTGGCAAGACACCTGGGAAATGAAGAATTTTTCTACCATTTTATGTACTGTATATCGAGTAAGGATAATAGGATTCTTCACAGGTTGTTCTGAGAATAAGATCATGCAAGGGGAGCCCTCAGCAGTGTTGATTGCTGGGTGCTCAATCAATGTGAGCTATTATTGTGAGCTGTACACTCCACTCACCATCTCTTTTACCTGCCCCACACCAAAATGCCTAAAGCCCTGGCCCCTTTAAATTCTGGCCGACCGTAAGGTGTTAGTTACTATGCCTCAGCTAAGTAACCAGGAGTTATTGAACCCCACCCCACCCCATATCTGGATTTGCGTGCTTGATGACGCCCAGTAAGCCAATCTCTGAATTACCAGGTTTGAAGCAGAGAAAGCTTATTGACAGAAGGGTAGCCCAAAGAGAAGGCAGGGACCTCTCCCAAATCGGTTTGGCTGATCTGGCCAAGGAATGGGTTATGTATTACTGGCAAAGGAATATGGGCTTTGGGCAGAAATTGGAAAGGCCTTGAAACTTCTTGAAATTATGTGCCACTCCCATCTTCCCAGTGCCTATTGAGGGGTCTTGGCATGGTTTGTATTGATCACACATCTGCTATCAGCCCTGCAACACAGGTGTTATCAACCAACATCCCCTCCCCTCGGCTAATCAGCTTCAGGAAAGAGGGCAAAGGACAAGGTCAATGATCCTTGCAAGGTCGCACGGAGCGTGAGGTCACTATGGAAGGGGAGCCTACTGAAGGTATAAGCAAATAAAGAAACATACCTCCAGGGCCACTGGGTGGGCTGGCTTTTTTATTTTTTTCTGAAACGGGGTCTGTTTCTAGATTCCCCAACTCTCTACACACATCCACACAAGGCTTATCAGTTCCCCAAATGCGGCCCCTAGAGCCTCGCGCCAGGATGCCCTTGTTAGAAATACTTTGGAGCCGCACCCCAGATCTACTGAACTGTAGATGGAGCCCAGCAAAGTGTTTTCCCAACCCTCCCGGTGAGAACCACTAACTTAGAGCAACGTAAAGTTAGCTTTAAAAAGAGAAGAAAAGAAAAAAAGTTTTGGAAGTCCCCTAACCCCCAGGTTCCGCATTCCCTCTGAAGGCCCGGGAGACTCGCGGCAGGGTGGCGACCCCGGAGCGCGCCAGGCCCCACTCGGGGCCGTGGCGCGGAGCCTGCACCGCGGGGCCCCTTCTCGGGCTGGAACTGGAGGCCGCGGCGGGCGGGACAAGGGGAGGGGCGGGGACGTGCTCCCGGGCCCCGCGCTAATGGCCTCCGGCAGCTCGGCCCGGAGGCCGTGCCCCGTCCTGCGCGCACCCGGCGCCGTGCCCGCCCCACACCCGGCCGAAGCCCACTCCGCGCCGCCGCTGCGCGAGTGCGGGCGGCCTCGGCCTCGCCGCGGACCGGAGCTCGGAGAGGCGAGCGCGCGGGGCGGGCTGGGCGTCCGGGTGGGACCGGAGCCGGGGGCGCCCTGACGCTTGAGGGAGGAAGGAAGAGAGAAAGCTCCCCACTCCCTGGGCCCGGCCGCCTCCCAGCTTCCCCGCAGGCGAGTTTTCCTCAATTGCGCGCCTGCCCGGGGTCTTTCTAGGCCGAGGCGACTTCGGGGAGGAGACCCTGTATGGGCAGGAGGAAGGCTGTTCTCGCCCGTGTCAGCCGAAGCCGATCGCGAGTTCACCCCCAGGAACTCGGGGCACAGGACGGGCGCGGCCCCCCTGGAGTGGGAGGGCGGTAAAAGCGAGCCCGCGATTTCCAGAAAGCCGTCCCTTCTCCCTCTTTCTGCCGGGAAGCCCGGCTGCTCGCTCCAGCCCCGCGCCGCCTGCCCTCCAGGTGTCCGCGGCCCAGCCAGGTAGGGGCGGCCAGCCCCCGCCTCCCCGCCCCGGCCCTGCCCCCGCGGGCAGGCTTACCCCGAGGCGGCCTGCCCCGAGCGGGTCCCAGGCCTACACCCCCCTCCCACTCCGCCCTGGGCAGCCGCGCTAAAGCCCGGAGGCTCCCCGGTGGAGCTGCGTTCTCCTCTTGAGCTCTTAAAACAGCCGAAGGTGTTGAGTCCCCACAGGCGTCTTGGGCTAGGGGTTCGCCATCCGGACAAGCCCCCAGACCAGACGGCGGCATGGAGTCCCAGGGGGCTCAGGGGCCTCTGCCCTGCGGAGACCCCCCGCCAGCCGAGGAGCTGCTCGTCTCAGGGGGCCAATGCACAGAGGGTGGCAGGGACGGCGGCCGCCTGTCGGGGACACCGAGCCTCGACGCTGAGCTCCAGGCCCCAGAAGAAGAGGCTGTTCCCCGGGAGAAGGAGGAGCTGCTAGAATGCCGCCACCACCTCCCGCGTGCCTTTTCCCTGCCCACAGACCCGATCTTGAGGGCGGCCAAGTTTCTGCAGCAGCGACAGCAGCTTGCCCTGGGGCTGGGCGCAGAGGGCGGCCGGAACGCCGAGGGCGCGCCACCCAGTCCCGGCGGCTGCTGCGCCAAGTGCAAGAAAAGGGTGCAGTTCGCGGACTCGCTGGGGCTGAGCCTGGCCAGCGTGAAGCACTTCAGCGAGGCCGATGAGCCGCAGGTGCCGCCCGCAGTGCTCTCCCGCTTCCGCAGTTTCCCCATGTGCGCCCAGGACCTGCAGCAGCTCCCCGACCTGTTGGCCGCGGCGGCGGCGGCCGCGCCCCCTTCCGCGCCTCCTCCGCGACTTCGGCCCCAGTTCGAGCTTCCCGGGCCGAGCGCCGCGGCCGAGCGCCTGCGGCGGCAGCGCGTGTGTTTGGAGCGCGTGCAGTGCTCGGCGCCCTGGGGCGCGGAGGTGACCGGCTCCGGCCGGGTGCTGGGCTGCCCCGGGCCCAGGGCCGTGGCGGTGCGCTACACCTTCACCGAGTGGCGCTCCTTCCTGGACGTGCCGGCCGAGCTGCAGCCGGAGCCAGTGGAGCCAAAGCCGCCAGGGGCACCGTCGGGGGAGTCCGGACCCGGGGATGCCAAGGAGGAGCCCGGCACCCAGCGCTTCCACTTCTCGCTGTGCCTGCCCCCCGGCCTGCATCCCACCGAGGGGGAGGACGCGGAAGCACCGGGAGTCGCGGTCCATTTCGCCATCTGCTACCGCTGCGCCCAAGGCGAGTACTGGGACAACAACGCCGGGGCCAACTACACGCTGCGCTACGCGCTTCCTGCGGACGCGCTGTGAGTCCGAGTCTTGGCTGGAGGTCAGCGCGCCCCAGAGCACTTCGAGGGATCCTGGAAAGGGGGCCGCGTCTGGGTGACCTGGCCGGACGCTTTGCTCAGAGTTCACAAGGTGTGAGGGCAGCGGAGGAGGAAAGGAGGGAGCCACTCAACGGTAAACAGCACCCGGGAAGATCCTGCGAGCAAGAAAGGGGAGCTCAGGCAAAGAACCCAACCACCCGGCCCGCCCGTTGTCTCAGCGCTTAGGTTTTCCTAGATGGCCTCTAGAATTTTCACCCGTCGTCAGAAAGGAAGGAAACCCTCCAGACTCTGAGCAGTAGCTGTCCCCAAGAAAGGTCTTCCGACTCTTGAGCACAGCTGTAAGGCCGTGGGATTTGTTTTTAACTATAGACGTCGTGTTTTAGCTTTTGCCGCTTCTCTTGGTGGAGATCCTCAGGTCTGAACGAAGGGAGGAGCTTTCCTGCCCCAAACAAGGGTCCGCGCTGGCTTGGGGCCCCACACAGTAGCCTTGGCACTGCAGCCTTTTTCTTAGGGAAAACCGGGTGGGGCCTTGGCAGGGCTGTTCTTTTCTCTTAACTGGGATCTGGGAGATGTTTGCCCACACTTGACATTAATTACTTGTGCTTTTGTGCATAAATGTTCTGTAGAAGAGTAAATCCTTTTGTATACTTGTGCCCCTTTCTACGATGTGCATTGTATTTCAGCTCTTGGGGGTTCGGGAGGTTTGGCAGTCAGGCAGTCTTCCTCAGCTGATGTTAATAGCACTTGAACAATAGTTAAACAACAGTATTTCCAAATTTCCTTTCTTCTTCGATTTCACTTCTCTGATGTGGAAAGGCCCAGATTTCCAACACTGGACAGAAATGTTTCTTAACAATGTTTTGTGGAAGGAGTACTATTCCCAGCCACAGTAAGATGCTTGGTGAATTGAAATGCCCGTGGGCCTTGACTGTGAGCCGCAAGAGCAGATCACTGGTCCCCAGCCCCCTCTGTGTAGGCAGAGCACAGAACTCATCTGCTAGACTTCTCTGGGGCACTGGCAGTCAGAGAAGCTGGACGTTTTGTGGCTGGACTCCAAGTGTGGGAGATGGGTACTAGAAAGGTAGTTTTCTGTCCCACTTGGAGCAGTGGCCACTTGATCACTGATAAAGCATGCCCAGCAAGGACATGCCACTCAGAGCCTGCTGGGGAGTCTGCATCTGGCAGGGTCTCTCGTCTGCTGTCCTCACTCATTGCCAATGGCTGTGGATGCTGAGATACGATAGCTGGCCACACGTGAGCAGGGTGCGTGAGCATTGAGGGTGAAGACTCGTTATCTTCACCCCTTGGCCATCCCTTGGTAATGTGTCTTTCTTTAGTTTTTGTATTATGCAGTACATGGCTCGTACAGTCATTTTGTGATGGTAATCTTCAAGGTGGGGCCATCTCACAGTTGCTCTGCAGGGACCATAGTAGGCATACCAGACACAGCTCATGGGCCTAATTCAGCATAAGCCTGTTCTTGTAGGGTCTGAGAGCTAAGGATGGTTTTTACATTTTTAAACAGTTGAAAAATTCAAAAGAAAAGTGCTGTTTTGTGACACATGAGAATTGTATGAAATTCAAATTTTAGTGTCCATAAATAAAGCTTTATTGGAACACAGCCATGCACATTTATTTACATAGTATCTATGGCTGCTTTCCTGCTATGAGAACAGAGTTGAGTAGATGCAACAGAAACCATATGGCAAAATCTAAAATATTTACTTTCTGGACTTTTATAGAAAGTTTGCCAACCCCTGCTCTAGAGTAGTATTTTTTTAAACACTATATGCTGAGAGTTAAACTTAAAAAAGCAGTTACACTTAACCAGTAAAATTGGCCACTTGAAATAAACCTCCTTTGGATAAAAGTAAAACTGTTTACATGACTCTCAGTAATCTTGATTAGAATAAACACTTAAGACACCAGATCTACAGTTATTACTGCACTGGGGAGGGTTATCTACTTGTTACATTTTTTTCATCTAAGAGATAATGACAAATCAGTGCAAATGAAATACAGCTCCCATCTGAATTAACATCAAGATACAAAAACTGCCAGATAGTTCCATGCCTCCAAATGGGATGTCTTAATAGGTAAATGGATTCTTAAGAATGTATAACAGATTTTCTATTTTTATAAAAACTATTATTGATTTTCAAAGTATATTTTGGAATTCAGACAATTTTTAAAGTACTTATTTTATAATATAATGAATGTTAAACATGGCTATTAGGGAAGGAAGTCTAGCTTTGTTCTCCTATAAATCTTGGAGAATATCTCCAAGGTTCAGAATTTTGTTAAATATTTGGAAAAGCCCAGTCTTTCACAATACTAGAATTGCCAATCTTCTAAGCATTAATTTCATTTTATAAAGTGCCAACTTTTCACTGTATGCTGATGGCAAACATTTTTCAAAGAAATGTAAGGAAGTTAAAATAGGTTTTGCTTTTGAAAAGTTAATTTCAAGGGAGGGGGCAATCCTGACCAGAGAGTGAGAAAGTATTGAAGAACTGAAGAATGTTACGTGTTTACACACTCATCCTCAAAGCAAAATTCCAACAGTTCCACTGTTGTTTTTTTGCAGTAATATTTATGTCAACTTGAGTAAGTGGGGGTCATTCTGGTTGAAATGCTGAAATGCTTGGTCCAGCACCAGTGATCACAACTCAGTTCTGCACAGCTCATTTAGTGCTGCCAACCTTCACCAGAGATACTGCAGCTTCTTCCTCATGGGCAGGTGGGTCCATGGATCCCCAGGTCAGGGAATGTAGGCTGCAATGTGTATCCCTATCTAGAGCTTCAGAAGCAGTAGTTGGAAATGTGGCTCTCTGTTTGGCACTGTTTCCTGAAATAAACCTGGGGTTTACCTAGCAGAAGGTGACCAGGGAGTTTCAAGACCTAACTCAGGATTCTGCTCCAAGGTATGGGTACTAGACTGTGAGCCCACCCAGCTCTGGGGACACTGAGGCATCACTGTCCACGGGCTGCAGGGCCACAGCTCCTGCAGCCCTGGGAGTGAGGCAGTTGTCATCCATGAACCTTGGCCAGAGGGGCAGGGGAAACTTCTCCTGTCAGATGCTTAATGGTGTTCCATCCATCCTATCCAATCCTCCCTCACCTGCTGTGCCCATCCTCCACCTTGACCGCAGTGACACTGTGGTCCTTGAGCCTGTTCCCCAATGTCAGTTCACAGCAAAGTAGAACCTTCTAACTTCAGTTTTGGAGTTTTAGTGCTGGTCTCTTTGTACATTAGTTGCCCATATTTCTTTTTTCTAGCATAGCAGTTTTTGCATATATTAGTATGCTAAGTTTTTTCATTCCCTGACTCAGTCTTGTGGCTTGTATGAGCTTGTGACTTGGAGCTGTTGGGGTATTGTGATCTGTGTGGTGTGTGCCATGAGGCGTTCAAGGAACAGCTTTCATTGTGCTTTCTTGTGGCATAGAACTGAATCAAATGTGTATTTTTGGTGTGTGCAATGGGACACAGCTTTGTAGGTTAAACGAGGGCTCTGTAGTGCTAATTTAACAAGTGGTCCTGACAAACAGTGAGCTGTTTGCAGTTCAGCTTTTGCCCAGACAATCCCCAGTTGCCAGGGCCTGGATGGTCTTCCAGGGATCTGGGCTGTACTCTTTGCTGTCACAGGGCCAAGGGGCTGGGAACAGGGTGGGAGTCTGACAACCTGGGCTCAGCCCAGTGACCCCACCTTTCCTCCTACAGAGCAGTACTGGCCATCATGCAGATAAGCCTGCTGGGAGAGGCTGTACCGGGTTCTCCTCTACACTTCGTAATAGACACATTCCATTAGGTGACCTGCTGTGCTTTCATGTTCCTTTCTGGACTCTGTTAGCTGACTGGGGAGACTCTGAATGTAGCCCTTAATCCTTCAGTGGCTGGTGTTCGAGTGCTACATACCATAGCCTTAGGCTCATATGATTTAAAACTCCTATGAATTGTCTTGGTCGATTTTGTATTTGTATTTTGTGGACCTTGGTTGTGTGTGGGCAGACCACTTTTGGCAAGGAGAGAACAGAGTCATGTTCAGCTGAATGTAGGTTTTTAGATTGTAGAGATCAAGGGCTTACTTTTGAGATGTGCTAGTGAGATTTGCCTAGGGAATCTGCTAGAATAGTAGAGGTCCATTTAAGTCATGAGTTCAGAGCCAATTCAACAAGGATATCTACGTGTGTACATGGTAAAGCAAAGATATTTTGGAGTAATTTAGACCCGTATAATTTCCCCATGATTGTATTTACTCATCCCATTCATATTGTTGACATTGCCCAGGTGCTTTGAAACTTGGTACCTGAAATCATTTCCCAAGGAGAGTCAGTAGCATCCTAATGTATCCTGAAATGAGAAATTCCATCTGAAGACCTGAACTGAATAAAGACTGAAAGCAAGTGGATTTCGTGAACAAAGCTTGAAACATTTTATCTCCAAGTTGAAAAATTCATGAGCACATCCTGCTTTGCAAATAGCTACACCTGTGTTCTACTGAGGACCATCCACACTTAAACAGTCTGTAAAGGGGCCACCTGGCGGTGCTCTTTAGAGGCTCTGTGGTCCCAGACCTTCTCTTGGTGCTTCTGGGTGAAGCACCCTTGTCATCAGGACGCTGTTCTGATACAGCTGATGTGGCATGTTTTTGTACCCGAAGTAGGTGAAAAAGGTTACTACTTCTCAGAGGGGTTTTTCCCTAATCTTTACATTATTTGGTAAGAAATGAGTTTATACTTAGAACCACTTTAAATAGTCCAGACCATTCCCTCTGTATGTTCCTTTCAGTCTGGCTTAGGAGCAGTTTCGTTTTTATGCATAAACTTCAGGCACGTTGTTATTACATTTTTCAGCCCCAAAGCCCCAAAACCTGTGCGTCACCCATGTTGCAATTATGTGCAGCTCAGCACGAGATCACTGAGCTCTATTTGTTGTGTTAGGGTTGTACATTTATAAATCTAACTTATATTTACAGGCCCCTGGGATATCCATGAATTGATATTAAATGGGTTTAATAACAATTTTAACTTCAAAATGGGTTGTAAAGGCATTGAGTTCTGAGGTTAGGGGTCTGCCCTGCCCGGGACAACCCACCATTATCTAGAGCCGGTGAAGGTGAAGGGGACAGACCACCCACTGTGGGCCTGCTGTGGGCTTGGGTTTGTCCTCCCACAGCACTGTAGTATCTGGCCTGGGCAGAAGGGTGCTGACAGCCTCAGGTTGTAGGCACAGCTTTTTGACTCTGCCACATCCAGTTGGGTCAAAAGGTCTTACAAATGGAGTCTTCACCCTCCAGATGAATTAGTCACAGCCAAGGGCTTCGAAAATGGCTCAGTAAACTTCCCTGTTGGCACCTGTGTAAGAAGCATTGGCCGCTGCGTGTGGTAAGTCACCTGACAGCAGAACTTGGATTTGAGGCCAGGAGACAGAACTCACCACGGAACGGCTCCCTCCGTGAGCCACACAGACCTATGCGTGTGTTAGCCCAGTGCCCGGTGATGTTAAGGTCGATGCCGCTGTGAGGTCACTGGGATGCCCAGGTCATTCCGGTGCCTGAAAATGCAGCATAGTCAGCAGGACATGTGCCTGAACCCCCCGAGCTTTCTGGGGATGCTGCCTGTACAGGACTCTGACTCGCTGAAGGCAGTTGATGAGGCCCCCAGCCCTGTCTGGGGGATGGGGAGGTACTGAGCTGGAGCAAAGATGACCTGGCCTCCTGTTGGCACAGTGGCTGCCTCTGTGGCTAAAAGCATATGGGGCCGAGAGCTCCTTTATCAGCGCGACAGCAGCTGCAAGAGCAGACCGCTATTTCAGACAGTGTGTGTTTCTGGGATTACATGGGATTTTTTACAGTTCCTTCTAATGATGTGAGGAAAAATAACCTCATTAACCTCTGTTTTAAGATTTGCTTGAGAAATGTACCCCGTGGAGTGTTTGAGATGAGTGACATGTTTCTGTGAATGGGATTTCTGATAGTGTTCATTTAAACTGAGAACTACTATAGTCAAAACCAGCGCTGGTGTGTCTTGATTTTTAAAAGGAGAGTTATAGATATATCTTTGTGGTTTGAAAATGTGTTTTCAGTTCTGAGGATTTTAAAAATAACTTTGCTGCTCTGCTGTATGGTTATTTTTCTGTGTGTGTTACATCTAAAAAAATGCTGAACCCAAAGTCCTGTTCTGAATAAAGAATGTAAAGCAGTTTGACACTTTAACATTTTTGTGGTCACAACTGGGGAGTGGGGCTGCTACTGGCAACTAGTGGGTAGAGGCCAGAGGTGCTGCCAAATACCCCAGAATGCACAGGGCAGCCCCCACCACAAAGAATCGTCAGGCCTAAAACCTTGGTGTTGAGGTTGGAAAACCCTGAGTTAACAGTATTGTACTGACATTGGTTTCCTGCTTTGACAATATACTGTGATTAAAATATATTGGAGAAGGCTGTGTGAAGGGTACACGGGAATTCTCTGCTATTTCTGCAATTTCTTAGGAGTTTTAAGAAACCTCAGCAATTTCTTAGTTTTAAAACACTGCAAGATAAAAAGTTTTAAAAACAACAACAAAATTAGATTAAATGTTAAAAACAGAAAACAAAACCCTACCATTGGGAAGTGTATAAAGGGCTGTTGGATGCATTGTGCCCAGGGAGGTGGCATGGGGTGGGGAGGTCACACAGGCTCCAGGTGAGCCAGGCCTGCAGCTGCCCCCAGCTCGGCCCAAGCTGGCTGTGTGCATTCAAACAAATCCCGTAACGTGTGTGTGTGCATCTTCACATTTGCAAAATGGGGGCAGTAATTCCTGCCTTGCTAGATTGTTGTGGGCACTAAGGGAAATTATTTGTGAAATGCTAAGCATACAGTTGGTTCTCAACATCTTTCTTTGCCCTCTGATTTCTGCCAGCTGGTTTCTACTTGTATCATTCTGAGGATAAATGCTGTCTGACTTCATCTGAATATTGAAATAATAAATGAATCTTGTAATTTGGGGGAAGATTACAGTGGCCCCCAGTGTGCTAACCAGACAAGCTATTCTTGTTACCTGGGCAGAAAATATGCCATTCATCCTGTGGTTCACATGATGGTATGTATATTATGTATATATGTTGTTATGATACGACATACAAATATATATATGTTCATCTGACTTACATCATTACATTTCCTTGAAATAGCTTCTTCCACGACTATCTTAAGGCACTGCTTTTGGTAGGCTTCCTGTTTGTCAACTGCTATTTGGTATTACTGAACCCTCATTCTTTGACCCTGTTTTGGTTGTTACCACCGTCTTCTGATCCATCCTTTTTCCCTCCAAGCTCCTCCTTGTCAGTTTGATTCTCTTCTCTGTCATGCAGTCTTCCAGAAATCCACCTTTAACTCTCTGTTCTCATACATCGATGCCATAAATTCCAAGGGGGGAGACTATATCTAATTCTTTTTATACTCCCTCAGTGGCCATGTTTCTGTGAGCTCATCGGAAATTTTTTCATTCTTTCAGCAAGTGTAGCTGGAGCTCTTAGCATGTGGCAGACACAGCCTGGCCTTGGGATCTGGGGGACTTAAGATGTGCAGGGCATATGGCTGCCATGGAGCTTGCATTCAGGACAGGTGGACCTTTATGTGGACCATGCAATTCTGCATCTCTGGGTACATTCTCTGCACTGACACTTGTACCTTCCTTTCTTTTCCAAACCCCACCTGGCTCTGCACATGCAAGCAAATGTCTTTTGCCTCCAAAAAAGCTGACAGTCAGAAACCCTAGAATTGGTACTGTGAGAATCTCTGGTAGGGGATGGCTGGTAGCCCTGTGGCTCTGCCTCTGTTTCCCCTAGATGAGCTTCCTCATGGTGGGGGGTGGGAAGGTCATTGGACAAAGGCTGCTACCTCTCCAGCGGACGTGCTTCTCAGTCAGGAGCCTGGCCCCTCCACCCAGGCCTTTACTGCAACCTTTACTGTTCTCACAGGTGTACAAGTTTAGACATCCAAGGAGTGGGGTGTTGTTTTCCCCTGAAAACAACAGTGTCTAGTGATGCTGAAGACACTCAAAACCCCATGGTCAGAAATTTCACACATACGGAAAATGTATGCCCACGGGCACCAAGAGTCATGGACAGAAATGTTATCAGCAGCATTGTTTGCAGAAGTGAAAACCTGGAGACCACGCAGACTGCAGACTGGCCAGTCCTGGAGGTCTCCGCACCCTGTCTGCTTAGGGTGGGGATGGAGCAGGGTGAGTGACAGCTCCACACACACCTCTCAGATCCCCGTGAGATACTCATCCCTGAGGGCAATGGGAAGCCAGACCCCTCATGGCCTGACTTGTCAGTGTGTCTCTCTTGCTGAGGAAATTGCTTTTTGATTTGGTGAGATACCCTTAGGATATGATACCATGCCTGGACTGTTTTACTATCCCAACGGCTCTCAGTTGGGGGCGGGGCGGGAAATCACCTCTCTGCCCTGGCTGCTGAAAGGGATTTCCCCCACAGTCTGGTGTTGTGCCCACTCCTCCTGCTGCCGGGGACCTGCCGGCTGGGTGACAGGCACAGGTCCCCGTTTCCTGGTTGGTGGGTGTATAGCACAGGTCCTGAGGGTGGCTTGTGGTGTCCTTCCCTCTCCCCTCACACCAGTGGGAGCCCAGGGCCCGGCCAGTGTGTGTATTCTGTAGACTCACACTCCCCTGGTGTGAAGCGTCTTTGGGGAATATGGATTTAATCCACTTTGATTCCCATTCTTAGTAGAGCTGTTCCCTGTAGATGATATCAGCAACAAAGAGGCCAGGCTGTTCTACTGACTTTCATTTTCCTTATTTCTTAAATGGTACCAAACTTGGGCTGAGAAGAGGGATGCTATTGTTGGGCCCCCTTAGAGATCCCAACACAGCTCTCTGAGGTAGGTATTACTCCTACTGTATAGCTGAAGAAACTGAGTCCCAGAGAGGCTGGCTAAGAGACTGAGCTTGGGTCGAAACCCAGGACAGTCTGACCCCAATCCATGGCTCTGAAACATACACTGCTGTGGCGAATGCAAACTCAGAGAAGACCGCATATCTGGAAACTCCCCATAGGAAGGAAAGGAGATTTTGCTTGGGTCCCTCCTTTCCACCTAGGTCTCTCATGAGGGCACAGCCCTAGACATCTAGAACTGAATGTCTGGGCAGGAGGTCAGCCTACCCCTGTCTCCTTCCTAGAGCTGCTCATCAAAGTTCCAGCTACCTCCATCTGGGAGCCTGACCCCGGGACGGGGTTCTTTCTCAGTGGGGGACTTACCTACTTACCTACTAAAAAAATGCTCTAACTTCTTGTGGTCCTCCACATGGCCCCCTATTATATATAAAGCACAGCGTATGTGTCCAAACTGCAAGTAAGAGACCAACTCAAGCCAGCGGGAGCAAGCAGGCAGCAGGTTTGATGGGTGCTGGGCTATCAGGTGGAACCTGGAGGCAGCTGGGCCTCCCCTGGGCCTGCACACCAAGAAGGGGATGCTACTAGAATCTAAGGAGCTCTCTCTGCCTCACACTCTATTCTGTTGCCCTCCTTCCCCTTCAGACTGGACCTCTCTTCTCTACTTGAGGGCTGGGGGATGGCTGCTCTGCCCTTCCCTTCTGTCACCTGAGTCCCAGCAAGTAGCCCAGAAGGAGGCAGTACTCTCTTCTACGTTCTGGAAGGGGGCAGGTTATGATGCAAGGCTCTTGATGTCTATTGTGAGGGAGCAAAAGGAGATCTCAGCAAATGGGCAGTTATGCCCACGTTTCTACTGCAAATGAAACATGCATGCAGTAACAGGAGGTGTAGACGTGGTGACGCTGTGAGGCATGTGGGCGGACCTGCACTTGCATTAAAGGGGATGTGCTGCTGCCCTGTGATGACTCCAGTGACAGGCAACCTGCCCTCCACACCCCCTGCCAGTCTTCTGGGACCAAAACATCCCAGTTATTTTGCTTCACTCCCATTCTTTATTTTATGTATCCAATCTCATCAAATCTGTCATTTGGAAAAAGCTTTTGGATTCACTCTTTCTTCTACATCTGCATCCAGTTCGAACTGCCACTGAGCTCGGCTGGGTCTGTCCCCTTGCATCTAAGTACCTGCAACAATTTCCTGGCTGGTTTCCTCTTCCAGGCATTCTATGGAAACTACCCATTTAGGCTGCACCAGATCACCAAGCCACTGCATAACATCCCCATTTCCCACCAAATGAAACTCAGCCTCCTTAGCCTAGAATTTACGGCTCAGGCAGAGGGATTCCTTTCTTTGCATCTTACTGCCAATCCCCAGTCTGGCCCTACTTCCTCTGTGCTTCTCCAGGTAACTTGTCACCTTAGACCTCGTAAAGCTATTTACACATGTCTTGAGGACAGAGCTAAATGTAATGAGTGGAAAAATCCACATCTGGTCCATTTCTACATCCCCTTAGGTATCTGACAGTTTCTAAATGGAGGGTAAAGCATCTAAGGGTTGTTCCTTGCTTACTTTGTATTAGACAGGGTAGAGGAACATTACGTGCATTGTGCATTTACAATACTTAACAGCAACCCTGTATGGTAGCTTTGTGACTAGCTCCATTTCACAGACGAGGAAACAGAAGCTTAGAGAAGCTACTTTCACAGGATCTCACTGTCAGCAAGAGACAGAGCTGGAAGATGCAGGAATGAATGACTTTCTGGCATGTCTGTTGCTTGCAGCTACCTCATGGGCTGTCCCATATATCTTCCCCATAGGAAGCCACTCTGGAACCCGGATTTCCTCCCTTTGGGTGGGCAATCACCCATGTGCCCCCGTGCACTGTCCATAGGTGTGTTCATCTTCCCCAGCCCATCGCTTCACTCCCACTCTGAGGCTGTCAGGCCCAGGGACTCTGTGAGTCTGCTCCAGTCCACGCTGTTCTCTTGTTCGCGCAGCTACTCTAGCACTGGTCAGTTTCTATGTAGTTGTTCTACCCGTGGTAAGCTGTAGAAGTCAGATCCTCCGGGGCAGAGACCCCGGGCCAATCCTGGGCCACAGCGGGCCTCCACCTCAAACTGCTCACTCTTCTCTGAGTATGTTCAAAACCATGTTTTTTAACTGTGTACTTTTGGGGAAGATATTGCTGGGTAAGCAAGAGATGGATGGCCCCCATTTTTAAAAAACTTAGTATTTTTTAAAATTTTATCAAATGAATATCACAGTGGTTCAACAGCCTCCCTCCCCTGCCCACTCCCCTCTGCCTTGGTAACCACTAGT